AAATTTATGAGTTTTCAGGAAAAAAAGTTGGGGCGTCCGATGAACCAAGATGAGCTCTTCAAGGAGACTCATATTGTAAAGAAGAAGAAAGAGACGGACCAAGAAAGGTGGGTCGAGGGCCGAGCCTCGACTGTACATGTAAGTTTTCACTTTTCATTAAGAATTTTGATTTACTTTTATATAAATTTTTAAATAGTAATTCAATGTAATTTTTCTTATAGGGTCGCTTCACAGCTGAAGTGAGCAATTCATACGCAGTCAGCCACCTAATGAGTCGGGCGCACCAATCCAACTATCGGACGAGGATGCTGAGTGAATGTGGACGCAGGCTGCTGGCGGTCCAAAATGGGGGAAGGTATACGGGCTTCCTAATAAGAAATTCCATCGCTATAAGTGTGGAATGCAAGGAATAGGGACTTCCTCCCAAGCCGAGCAACTTGATGGGGAGAGCCTCTCCTCTATGCGGGAGACTGTACAAAAGCTTACATCCAAGCTAGAAGTCGCCAAGGAGAGAGAAAGGCTTAGAGATATGCAGTACTCTGGCATGCAAGCTCAGTACAAGGGCATGCAAGAGCAGATCAAATCTCTCCTAGCTTCTAGCAGTTTTCCGATTCCCCGGTCTCGTGAGTCATCGCCAGAGGCTCGCATTCCCCGTGCTCGTTCCTCCCGTCCTCCCCGTGATCGTTCTTCCCATCCTCTACAAATAGCCCATTCTGGATACCGTCATGGTGAAGAAAGTTCATCAAAAGGTGATGATAATGATGTACAGAACAATATGTGAACTTATTAGTTTATACTAGACAAATACAATCGGTTTTCGGACGGTTTTGTAATAAAAGTTAACTTATTAGTTTGGTTAGCTTAAAGTATAAAGTTCTATTGAACTTTATACTTTGTTCGCTATAATGTTGTTATTGTGTTGTTGTTGTTGTTGTTGTTGCTTTTTAGTTGTTGTTGTTGCTTGTTGTTGTTGTTGTTGGCATAAAATGCCTTTTTAGGAATTTTGGTAAGCTGGCAGGTGGTGTAGCTGCCAAAACAGGCAGTTCCTGCCAGCAATATACCAAAAAAAAGCGACCAACTTTGGTCGCTATTTGGTCGCTTCTCTATTAAAAAACAATTTTCTGGGAAATAGCGACCAAGGTTGGTCGCTATATAACCCAGATTTCACAAAAAGCGACCAATTTTTGTTGCTATTTCCCAGAAAATTAACAATTTCTAGAAATATAGCGACCAAAGTTGATCGCTTAATACTAAAAAAAAATTAATTCATGAAGTTAGCGACCAGCTTTGGTCGATTATTTTTAAAAAAAAAATTAAAAATATTTATAGTGTAGCGACCAACTTTGGTCTCTATTTTCCAGATTTTAAAATATAATATTTTTCTTTACAGACCAAAGTTGGTTGCTATTTTATGATTAATAATAAATAAACAAAAACGTAATTTACATAAAGAGACCAACTTTGGTCGCAAAATTATAATAGTAAAATATTGTAGCGACCAAAGTTGGTCGCTATTTTCTTTACCCGGAAAATTTGGTCCTTTTACCTGAGAGACCAAAGTTGGTCGCTAATTAGCGACCAACTTTGGTCCCTAAGATAAAGGGACCAGCTTAATATGGACCAGGCGTGTTTGGTCGCTTTTTGGCCAATAAGCGACCAACTTTGGTCGCTTTTCGTGGTCGCTTTTTTCCGGATTTCTAGTATTGAATGAAAAAGACCATCCTGATGCATCTTACTTGCTGCTTGTGCATTTATTTTCTTTGGATTTGCATGCTGACCGACTTTTGAATAATAGGAGAAAGTTAGGAAAGGAGAATAGCAGTGTGAGGGTTAAGTGAGTTAATCACCTGTTTTGAAAAACCAATGTCCAAATGGTACTGACTCTGCCGAATTTTTGGGAAAACTGAAAGTGAAAAAAAAAAGGAGAAAGTTTTGTTTCCAAAAATAGTTGGTTTCGTTTTATCTGCCCGAACTACGCCAGTTTGATTCTCACCGGATGTGGGATACGTAGGCAACCCCCATCGGGTCTAACTTCCCTTGTTGCAAATATAGCCCAAAAAGAACAAAAATTTTATTTTTACTGTAAATAATTAAGGTGATGCCATTCTTGTCAAAAATAGTTGAATGTCCCTCAAAAGGGCGCCGGAAGGCTGTTTTTGCAAGAACAGCCGCCTTTAGTCATTTTTCAAGGCTTTGGCCGGTTAGCCGACACAGCCTTAAAATCTTCGTTTTCGAAGTGCTGAAAGGCCGTATTGGCAAAACCGGATATTTTTGCGAAAATTTTGAAAAAGAATGGTCATTTTTCTTGAGTCAAAATGACTCATAGTTTTCTTTTAATTAAAATCACCTTAATAAATGTGCAGGATGAGCACAATTCAAAATGAACCTTTCTCAGCCCGTGAAGAGATCCCTTTGGAGCTACATAAGTGGTGGCATGATTTGGGGGACGACAGCAGGAAGGTTGTGACAAAAGCGTTGGATGGTCTTATCGGGCTCTTGAAGGTTAAGCCGAGAAAGGACATAATTGAGGCCTTGATACCATTTTGGGACCCAGCACATAATGTATTCCACTTTGCTGATTTCGAGTTAACTCCAACACTGGAAGAGATAGCAGGCTACGCTGGTTTCGAGGGGAATCTTAGAAATCAATACCCAGTGGCGCCTAGAACAGTAACCCCTCACAAATTTTCTGACCTGTTAAGCATCATTCGGGACATTCGAGATGAAAATTTGGCCAAAGGATTCTGCACCTTCTACTTTTTGTACCAGCGTTACGGGAATCCCCGTGGCTTCGAGACGCCAGATACCAGTCTTACTCACGCGGGAAACCAAGACAAGTGGGAAGCTCGGAGAGGATTAGCTTTTATAATGGCGTTCCTGGGTATTTTGATTTGCCCCAGAAAAGATGGGAATATAGAGTTGGGGCTCGTGGGGATAGCTGACTTTATGATGAAATAGGCAATTGGGACCATAGTGGCGATGATCTTGGCCGAAATTTATTGAGCCCTGACCCTTTGCCGGGAAGGAGGAAAGTTTTTTGAAGGGTGCAATATGCTGTTACAATTATGGATAGAGGAACATCTTTGCCACCATCCCGGATACTTGAATTGTGGTATGACTGGTCTGGAATGCATCGAAAAACATGAAAAACGGGTAGAGGGTTATGAGTTCCCGGAGGGTACAAAAGCATGGCATGCCCACTTGAGGTCCTTGACTGCAAACAAAATCGAATGGACGTTCGGGTGGCTCTCGGTCGGTGAAGTAGTCTATATGTCGGCTGAGGAGTGTTTTCTGCTGTTTATGGGTCTTCGGAGTATCCAGCCTTATGCTCCGCACAGAGGCCTACGTCAGTTAGGCCGATACCATACCATCCCACATGATGAAGATTTGAGTCGGCAGGTTATCGAGTTAGAACCAAAAGCTACCTTTCCAGAAGAAAAAGTGCGTCGGATTTGGCATCAGTGCAGATTCTTAGAGCCTAAACCTCAAGTACGAGATCTATCTAGAGGTGAGTTGGAGCCTGGTTACCCTGCTTGGTATGGTAAACGATCCCGAGTTCATCAAAAGCCCGAAAGGCCCGCAAAGAGACCCCATGTCCAACAATTCACCGACGGAGCACAGGTGCAATGGGACTGGTTGACCAAAGAAAACGAGTACAGGGCTACCATAAGCAAGTTAGAAAGGCAAGTCATGGACCTTCAGTTTGAAAATGGTTTGCAAGCTGCTGCAAATGAAGGAGAAAAGAAAAAACTAACTCGGGAAAATGAAGCCCTCAAAGTTCAAATCCGGAAGTTGAAAATAGCTGCTAGAAACTCGGAAAGAAGCCGAGCGGATGAAAGGCTTATAACCAGTCTGAAAAAGAAAGCCCTTGTGTCAAGATGACCTGGAAAAGTCTGAGGCCAGTCTAGCGAAAGTCCAGACACAATGGGCAAAGAAGGCGGAAGATCGGGCACGGTTTGTGCAACAAATGAAAAGGAACAATGAAGGGACAATCACTAGCCTAAACAGAAAAGTAACTACCCTCGAGAATGAGGCAGCCAAGCAGGCCAAGGACTTTAAAGCTGATAGGGAACACTATTATGATTTGATGGCTCAGATGGAGGAAGAAATGCAACAGTTGCAAAATCAACATCTCCACGACACTCAGGTGTTAGAAGCCTGGAATCAGCAGGTCGGGCGTCTGCTTCAGGAAAAGGGTAGAATCCGAGAGAAGGTCAGGGCCATTGCCGATTACATTGTTGTGAAGTGCCAAGCATGTGAGGATATGACCCACACCACTTTCTTCACGGCAGTGATGACATTTGTCCGACAAATAATGAGAGATTTGGAGAGGCTCCAAAGGGATCTTGCATATAGGCCCGTGGCGAGACCGAATGATGTCCCACGGGCCCAGGGGCATTTGAGGCATTAATGTATTCGTGATCTTTGCTTGAGTCTGTATTTTCTTTCTATTGAAGTATGTCAGTTTGCTTTTGAGTCTGTATTTGCTTTCTGTTGAAGTATGTTAGTTCGTTTTTGAGTCTGTATTTTCATCTTTTTATCAGAGTCTGTAAGTTTCTTTTTGAGCATGTTAGTTCTTTGAGTCATTGTAATCAAAGCATTTGCTTTTTATGAAAAATTGAAAATCCCAAAATGTTTTTATTTATTTTTCATTTATTTCCCCCAGAACTACGCTCGGTCTGATTCATGCGGGGTCAAGTATACGTAGGCAATCTCCATAGGATTCGACCATAACCAAAAGAAAAAAAGGTGATAAAAAAAAGAAGAGAAAAAGAAAAAGAGAGGATAGGTGGTATACCCGACAAGATCACGATAGGAAGTACATATGGGATGATCTAGCCCAAGCATTCGCCTGCCATTTTCAGTATAATCTTGAAATTGTTCCAGACCGTCTGTCATTGACAAAGATTGAGAAAAAGCCCGGCAAGAGTTTCAGAGAATATGGCTTCCGTTGGAGAGAGCAAGCAGCGAGGGTTGACCCACCGATGAAAGAAAGTGAAATGGTGGACTATTTCTTGCAGGCCTTAGAGCCCACTTATTTCGGTCATTTGGTGTCAGCGGTAGGAAAGTCCTTCAATGAAGTGGTAAAAATGGGGGGCATGGTAGAGGAAGGAATCAAATCTAACAAGATCATGAGTTATTCAGCAATTACGGCGACCACCCAGGCCATTCAAAACGGTACTGGGGGTGTACTAGGGAAGAAGAAGAAAGAGGACGTTGCGACAATTGAGTCAGGAGCTTGGTTCGGATCCAGGGGCCCATCACCTTACTATAACCAGCCTCGACCCCACCACCAAACTTACCCCCACACTCCATATAGCCCACCACAACACTACTACCCACCGCCAGATCCCCATTTTTATGTCCATCATGCTCAAACATACACTCAACCTCCTACCCACACACAATGGCGTGCGCCAACCCCACAGAATACCTACCCAGCTCCACAAAATGCCTATCCACCCCCAAGAGCCTACCGAAATCCCCCTGGAACAGGTTTTCGGCCCAATCAAGCCTTCAAAAATGAGAGGTTGCAAAAGAAGAAGACTTTCACTCCATTTGGAGAATCCTATACTAGCCTATTCCATAGGTTGAGACAATTGGGTATGTTGAATTTGATTGAGCCTAAACTGCCAAATCCCCCCCCCCCCCCGACGAAATCTTGATCACTCGGTGAGTTGCGAATATTATTCAGGTGCTCCGGGACATGACACAGAGAAATGCTAGCAATTGAAAACAGCTATTCAAGAGCTCATTGATACCAATCGGATCGAGGTCCAAGCCCCAGAAGCGCCCAATATCAACCAGAATCCGTTGTCGACCCATCATGAGACCAATATGATCGAGAAAGTGCATAAAGGAGGGAAGCCTAAGAAGCCCTCACAGACTGTAATGATGATTCGGACCAGTGAAGCCAGGTCGAGTGAAAAGCCAGCAAATGAGAATTCAGTGATCAAGTTGAAAGGGACAGACAGTAATCCATTTGTGGTAGTCGAGAAGGGGTCCTCAAGTGGGGTTGCAGTGAAACAAGAAAAAGGAAAAGTGGTGGTACCAGGGGTTGCCAACAAGCCTATTGTAGTTGTGGAGGGTGCTCGCACAGAGCCTGTCATTATCAAACCGGTAACTCAGCTACCAATAGTCAACAGCAAGGTCGTCCCTTGGAATTATGGCCGAGTGGCAGTGACTTACAAAGGGAAAGAGGTTAAAGAAGAAGACTGTGAGACCCATGGTTTGACTCGTTCGGGGAGATGCTTTGCCCCCGAGGAGTTAAGAAAAGCCAAGACCTTTAAGGATAACCCAGTGCTGGTGAAGAAAGCTCTGACCGAAGAGGAAGCGGAAGAGTTCTTGAGAAAAATAAAAGTGCAAGATCATTCTATTGTAGAGCAGTTGAGGAAGATGCCTGCTCAGATTTCACTGCTGTCATTGTTAATCCATTCAGACGAAAGTCGGGCGTTGATGAAAATCTTGAACGAGGCCCACGTTCCTGACAAGATCTCAGTAAACCACTTGGAAAAGATAGCAAACAAGATTGAGGTAAACAGAGTCACTTTTTTCGATGATGAGTTGCCCGTGAAGGGTACTGAGAATAATAGAGCCCTTTATCTTACGGTGAAGTGCGAAGATTCCGTGGTTACTCGGGTATTGATCGACAATGGTTCCAGCGCCAACATTTGCCCTCTCTCCACTCTGAACAAACTGAAAGTGGATGATGAAAGAATTCAGAAGAACAGTATTTGCGTTCGGGGGTTCGACGGTGGAGGGAAAGATTCAGTCGGAGACACAGTGTTGGAGCTGACAATAGGGTCAGTTGAATTTACCATGGAATTCCAAGTGCTGGATGTGGCGGTTTCTTACAATCTCTTGCTAGGTCGACCCTGGATTCATGCCGCCAAGGAAGTGCCGTCTACCCTGCACCATATGGTTAAATTTGAATGGGACAGGCAGGAAATTGTGGTGCACGGTGAGGATAATCTGTGTGCCCAGAGTGATACAGTGTTCGTCAAGAAGATCCCAGAGGGGAAAAGCATTCCAGTTCCTAAAGTAACGGCCACATCAGTCATGGTGGCTTCTAAGATGTTCAGGAATGGCTTTGTGCCTGGCAAGGGTCTGGGTGCCTCGCTGCAGGGCATCGTACAACCAGTTTCTCTTCCTAAGAACCTGATACATTTGGTTTGGGATTTAAGCCCACAGTTGCAGACGTGAGAAGGGCCAGAAAAATGAAACATAGGGCATGGGTCCTTCCATAGCCTGTCCCGCGTCTCTCCAGGTCATTTGTCAGGCCTAGCACCAGAAAGCGCCCAGTATCAACGGTTCCCAGTTTATTAATTGATGTTGATGGAGATTTGGTTAAAGGGTTCGAGAGGTTGTTCAATAATTTTAACATGGTAGAGGCTGGAGAGGGCTCGAGTAAAGCAGATGTGCAATTCGGTTGGCCAAGTGCAAAGATCAACAATTGGGAAGCTACTCCTCTTCCTACTCGGAGGGAGTTTTGGTAGTCGGCTTTGATTTTTCTTTCAGTTTATCTGGATTATTCCAGGGTTGTAATTCAGATTCTATGTTCCGTCCGTTTGGATGTGTTAAACCTTGTTATCTTTAATTTCAATGAAATGCAATTTCCTTTCTTCTTCATTCCTGATAGTTTTATTTTTGTTTTTCTTTTCTTTCTTGTACAGTTCTTTTTATGCTGGATTCAATGACATGACATGCATGAGGAATCTTCGGCCCAGTTTAAAAGTCAATCTAATTCTAAAATAACAATACAAGAAATTGAGTGCGATGATGGATTGGAATATGATGATGATGAGGCCTTTGAAGAGATTAGTAAAGAATTAAGCCATTTCAAAGAAAAACCCAAGCCTAACCTGAATGATACAGAAGCAATCAATTTAGGGGACCAAGATAATGTCCGGAAAACTAAGATAAGTGTCCATCTTGAACCGCAAATGAGGGAAGAGATAATCAAAGCATTGTTTGAGTATAAAGATATTTTTGCATGGTCATATGATGACATGCCGGGTTTAAGCACCAACTTGGTGGTTCACAAATTGCCCACTGACCCGGCATTCCCTCCTGTCAAGCAGAAGCTGAGGAAATTTAAAACTGATATGAGTGTAAAGATCAAAGAAGAGGTCACCAAGCAGTTTGATGCAAAAGTCATTCGGGTCACGCGGTATCCCACTTAGTTAGCCAACGTTGTGCCTGTGCCAAAGAAGGATGGAAAGACCAGGGTGTGCGTTGATTACCGTGATCTCAACAAGGCGAGTCCAAAGGATAACTTCCCATTGCCGAACATCCACATATTGATTGATAATTGTGCCAAGCATGAAATCGGTTCTTTTGTGGATTGTTATGCAGGCTATCACCAGATCTTAATGGATGAAGAAGATGCAGAAAAGACAGCATTCATCACGCCATGAGGAACGTACTGCTATCGGGTCATGCCATTTGGTTTGAAAAATGCTGGGGCAACCTACATAAGGGCAATGACAACCATATTCCACGACATAATACACAAGGAAATCGAGGTTTATGTGGATGACGTGATCGTAAAGTCTAGAAAGCAGTCTGACCATTTCAAAGATCTGAGAAAGTTCTTCCAAAGGCTTCGCAGGTACAATCTTAAGCTCAATCCTGCAAAGTGCGCTTTCGGTGTTCCATCTGGAAAATTGTTGGGATTCATAGTCACCGTCGAGGTATTGAATTGGACCCATCAAAAATCAAAGCTATCCAAGAATTGCCACCTCCGAGGAACAAGACTGAGGTGATGAGTCTGTTAGGGAGGTTGAATTACATCAGCAGGTTTATTGCTCAGCTTACGACAACGTGTGAGCCTATCTTCAAGCTGTTGAAGAAGGATGTTGCGATCAAGTGGACAGACTAGTGTCAAGAAGCATTTGATAAGATAAAGGGGTATTTGTCAAACCCACCTGTGTTGGTCCCACCAGAACCAGGGAGGCCTTTGATTCTGTATTTGACGGTTTTGGACAATTCGTTTTGTTGTGTGTTGGGTCAGCATGACATCATCGGCAGGAAAGAGCAGGCCATATATTATCCCAGCAAGAAGTTCACATCTTACGAGGTTAAGTATACTCATCTTGAGAGGACGTGTTGTGCCCTAACTTGGGTAGCACAAAAGTTGAAACATTATTTGTCATCTTATACTACTTACCTCATCTCTCGCATGGATCCGTTGAAGTATATCTTTCAGAAGCCTATGCCTACAGGGAGGCTCGCAAAGTGGCAGATCTTGCTCATAGAATTTGACATCATCTATGTGACTTGGACTGCGATGAAAGCACAAGCATTGGCTGACCATTTGGCTGAGAACCCGGTAGATGAAGAATATGAACCTTTGAAGACATACTTCCCTGATGAAGAGGTGATGCATATTGATGAGTTGGAATAGGTCGAAAAGACAGGATGGAAACTTTTCTTTGATGGGGCTGCCAACATGAAAGGCGTTGGGATAGGAGCAGTACTTATTTCTGAAACAGGGCATCACTACCCTGTTTCGGCTCAGCTTCGTTTCTACTGCACTAACAACATGGCTGAGTATGAGGCATGTATCTTGGGTTTGAGGTTGGCTGTAGACATGGGTGTCCAGGAAGTCTTGGTCTTGGGTGACTCGGACCTTCTGGTGTACCAGATTCAAGGAGAATGGGAAACACGGGATTTAAAGCTCATACCGTACCGACAATGTTTGCATGATCTTTGTCAACGGTTTCAATCAATAGAGTTCAGGCATATTCCAAGGATTCATAATGAGGTTGCCGATGCCTTGGCTACTCTGGCGTCGATGTTACATCATCCAAATAAGGCTTATGTTGACCCATTGCATATTCAGGTCCATGATCAGCATGCTTACTGTAACGTGGTAAAAGAAGAACTTGATGGTGAGCCTTGGTTTCATGATATCAAGGAATATATCAGGATGGGGGTGTATCCGGTACAAGCCACAGGTGATCAAAAGAGAACAATTCGGCGGTTGGCGAGCGGATTTTTCTTCAGCGGAGGGGTTTTGTACAAAAGGACTCCGGATCTTGGATTGTTGAGATGCATAGTTGCTAGACAGGCCACAGCTATCATGACCGAGATACATTCTGGAGTCTGTGGACCGCATATGAGTGGGTACGTGTTGGCAAACAAGATTTCCGAGCAGGTTATTAATGGCTCACTATGGAGCGAGATTGTATCAGTTTCGTGCGCAGGTGCCATCAATGCCAAGTGCATGGAGATTTGATCCACTCTCCACCCTCGGAATTGCACACAATGTCTGCACCATGGCCTTTTGTCGCGTGGGGCATGGATGTCATTGGGCCAATTGAGCCAGCAACATCAAATGGGCACAGGTTCATTCTGGTGGCCATTGACTATTTCACCAAGTGGGTTGAGGCCAAAATGTTCAAGTTTGTAACCAAGAAAGCGGAGGTCGATTTTGTGCACTCAAACATCATTTGTCGGTTTGGGATACCAAAGGTGATCATTACAAATAATGGGGCTAATCTCAATAGTCATCTGATGAAAGAGGTATGTCAGCAGTTCAAGATTACACATCGTAATTCCACCCTATACCGCCCCAAGGCAAATGGAGCAGTTGAGGCGCCCAACAAGAATATAAAGAAGATACTTCGGAAAATGGTGGAGGGTTCTAGACAGTGGCATGAAAAACTGCCTTTTGCATTGTCGGGTTATCGCACTACTGTTCGTACTTCAGTAGGGGCGACTCCTTATTTGCTGGTGTATGGTACCGAAGCAGTGATACCCACAGAAGTGGAAATCCCATCCCTTCGAATTGTCGCAGAAGCCGAAATTGATGATGATGAGTGGGTCAAAATCTGCCTGGAACAATTGAGTTTGATCGACGAGAAAGATTGGCAGTAGTGTGTCATGGCCAGTTGTATCAACAGAGAATGGCAAGGGCATATAACAAGAAGGTGGTTCCACGGAAGTTTGAAGTGGGTCAGCAAGTGTTGAGACGTATCCTTCCACATCAGGCTGAGGCCAAAGGCAAGTTCGCCCCAAACTGGTAGGGGCCGTTCATTGTAACTAGAGTGTTGTCAAATGGTGCTTTGTATTTAACAGACATAGAAGGCAAGTGTGTAGAAATGGCCATCAATTCCAATGCGGTCAAGAGATACTATGTATGATTTTCTTTGGTTAAATTGTATTTGTTTGTACTTGGCATGTTTTGAAGATTGGAATGACGAAGGCATTTTGTTCTGCTATCTAAACACTTTATCCTTTGTAACCCCCTTATGAGCCTTATTTATTTCCTTTCATACCCCTCTTTCGGAATCAGTAGCAAAGATCAGAAACACAAGCGTGAAAGATAAGCAAAGGAAAAAGTGAGAAAAGAAAAGAATGAAAAATAGAAAAGACAAAAAGAGAAGAAAAGGAAAAGAGAAAAATAGAAAGAAAAAAGAAAAAAAAGAAAAAAAACCAACAAAAGAACAAAAAGAGAAAGGAAAGGAAAAGAGAGAAAGAAAAGAAAGAGATAAGAGAAAATCACAGCAACAAAGCAATTTCTATGACATGAACTACGTTCGACCTGATTCCTTTCAAGGATACGTAGGCAGCCTCACGGTTCGGTCCCATCAAAGTAATGATCCAAAGGTCCCCAAGCAAGAAACTGGGGCAGAAGTTGTGGTTGTTGTGAGAAATGTGATTCCGGAAGTTGTAATCTTGAACCCATTTGAATTGCTTTGATCCTTTTGATACCCTTTCTTTCTAAACCCTAACCAAAAGCCCACGTTACGGTCCAAAAAAAGACCTTCTGATCAGTCTTCAAGAGATACCAAGTCGAGCAAGTAGAGGTGATTCATTTCAGGGGCAACACTTTAGTCCAAGCAGGAAAATGAAAAATGAGAGAGTCTTATTGGTGAAAACCCTCATGGGCATCGTAAGGTGACGAGAGCTGAGAGAAATCAAAATGAGAAAGTCTTATTGGTGAAAACCCTCACGGGCACCTTGAGGCGAAAGTGAGTTGAGAAATGAACAAATGAGAGAGGTGAAAACCCTTCGGGACGCCGCGGGCCGAACAAGGACAAGGTTTTGGCAAAGAAATTGGGTTTTGAAGATCTTGGGGAATAGTACGACAACTGATAGTTGATTGGCTGGACAGATTGGGCCGATTAATCCGAAATGCATGTCATGATCGTTGGTGCCAGCTGCTCCACTCAGATAAGTCTCTTTTCTTTTTCCCT